GCATTCTCATTTTATACTCTAAAACCACATGGTGGGTTGAACAGGCAAGCGAGATCTTACAGAAGTGAACATGGCAGTTCACAGGTTGCTTCAAATTCATGTATTACAGTTGACAGGTGTAAGCTTTTGTAGTTAGGTTGTAAATGACAATGACTCATTGTTTCAGTTGTTTCTCATGTCATTCTGTTTCAAGTTGCAAGAAATGAGAAATACAAGTAGTGGTTTACTTAAATCAGTATCTGGGACTAGAGAGATGATGACTCAATTGTTTAGACTACCTGCTACTCTTCAGAGAACAGCAGTTCAGTTCCCAATGCCCAAGTTGGGCAACTCACAGCCTCCTGTAACTCCATGTCTCATGCCTGGGTGGATCTTATGTAGTCTTCTAGCTTCTGTGGAAACTGCACATAGGTAGAGTGCACTCACAAACACATGTACATACACATAAATAAAAATAAACCTTTAAACATTCATTTGCACTTTTAAAATAATGAGATGAGTGAAATTCCTCCTTTATAAACAAATATTTCAGGCTGGAGAGATGGCTCAGTGGTTAAGAGCTCTGGCTGTTCTTCCAGAGGTCCTGAGTTCAGTTCTCATCAACCACATGGTGGTTCACAGGTATCTATAATGGGCTCTGAGGCCCTCTTCTGGTGTAAAGTCATACATGAAGATAGAGCACTCATACATAAAATAAACAAATAAATCTTTAAAAAATATTTAACTGTAGGGAACAAGTTAAGTATTATTTGATAAAAGGACAGCCAGGTCAGGGGCCGATGCCTCAGCCCCATGGGAGTGGCAAAGCTTTCACCAGATGAGGTTATGAGGAATGGCAAAGCCTTCTTTGAGTTTGAATGCAAATATTGACAATATATGTTGAAAACTGTTCCCTATAGCTTCTTCTCCCCATGTTTATAGCCTAAAGACTGTTCCCTAGCTGGGCGGTGGTGGCACACACCTTTAATCCCAGCACTCAGGAGGCAGAGGCAGGCGGATCTCTGTGAGTTCAAGGCCAGGCTGGACCGACAGCCTCCAAAACAATACAGAGAAACCCTGTCTCGTAAAAACCAAAAAAGAAAAAAAGAATCTTCCCTATAGAACCTGATCCCACCAAGATTAGATAAACCTGCTTCCTTGTTCAGCTGTATACAGTAACCCTGCCTGTTTCTTTATCTTTAGGTAATAACTCTGCCTCCTTAGGCAGATATATGCAATAATCCCACCTTCTTGTTACCTGTATATGATAAATACACTGATATTCTGGGGTGCTATGACTTTTCCATCAGAGAGAACAGACTACTTGATCCCAGATTTTCTGTGTCCATGTATCTGTCATTTTCTTTCCCTTGCCTCCCCATAAAGGTTAATGGAAAGAAACTCAAAGCAATTCCACTAAAATCAGGAACAAGACAAGGCTGTCCACTCTCTCCATATATATTCAATATACTACTCGAAATTCTAGGTAGAACAGTAAGATAATTAAAGTAGAAGAAGGAGATACAAATTGGAAAGAAGAAGTCAAAGTATCATTACTCACAGATAATATGATAGTACACATAAATTACCCTCAAAATTCCAACAGAGAACTCCTGCAGCTGCTAAACATCTAAGTAAAGTGGCTGGATACAAGATTAACTCAAAAATAATCAGTAGCCCACCTATATACAAAAAACAAACAGGCAGATAAAGAAACCAGAGACACAACAACCTTCATAATAGCCAAAAAATAAAATATCTTGGAGTAATTCTAACCAAACAAGTGAAAAACTTGTATGACAAGTCTTTGAAGAAAGAAAATGAAGAATGTATCAGAAAATGGAAAGCTCTCCAATGCTCTTGGATAGGTAGGATCAACATAGTAAAAATGGAGATCCTATATCAAACAATCTATAGATTCAATGTAATCCTCATCAATATTTCAACACGATTCTTTACAGACTTGACAAAACAATTTTCAATTTCATATGGAAAACCAAAAGGCACAGGATAGCTAAAACCAATCCTATATAATAAAAGAACTTCTGGAAGTATCACCATCCCTGATTCCAAGCTGCACTATAGAGCTATAATAATAAAAACCTAATTATAATCACATAAAAACAGACAGAAGAGGCTGGGTGTTGGTGGCACATGGCTTTAATCCCAGCACTTGGGAGGCAGAGGCAGGCAGATCTCTGTGAGTTCGAGGCCAGCCTGGTCTACCGAGCGAGTTCCAGGACAGTCTCCAAAAACAATACAGAGAAACCCTGTCTCGAAAAACCAAAAAAAAAAAAATCAACAGACAGAAGATCGATGAAATTGACTCAAAGACACAGACATAAATCCACACACCTATGCACACCTGATTTTTGATAAAGAAGCCAGAAATATATAATGGGGAAAAGGCATCTTCAACAAATGGTGCTAGTTCAACTGGAAGTCTGCTTGTAGAAGAATGCAAATAGATCTGTATGTATCTCTATGCACAAAACTCATATTCAAGTGAGTCAAAGACTGCAACATAAAAGCACACGCACTGAACCTGATAGAAGAGAAAGTGGGAAACAGACTTGAATTCTTTGGCACAGAAGGCAACCTCCTGAACAGAGCACCAATAGTACAGGCACCAAGATCAACAATTAATAAATGGGACCTCATGAAACTGAAAAACATATGCAAGGTAAAGGACACTGTCAAAAGAACAAAATGGCAGCTCACAGAATGGGAAAAGATTTTCATCAATTCCACATCTAACAGAGGGCTGATCTCCAAAATATGTTTAAAAAAACTCAAGAAAGTAGGCATCAACAAACCAAATACTCAAATTTCAAAATGGAGTGCATATCTAAACAGAGTTCTCAACAGAAGAATCTCAAGCAGCCAAGAAAGAAAGAAATTTTCATCATCCTTAGCGATCAGGGAAATGCAATGAAAGCTACTCTGAGACTCCATTTTATATCTGTCAGAATGGCTAAGATCAAAATAAAACTATGGAATTTCTGGCTTCTTTGGGCCCCTCCCTGAATGAAGCTACCAAAATCCTAGTCAGTGTTCTGTCTTGTTTCTTGCACGATGGTTGAAGTGTTTATGAACTTAAGCAGGGCTTTTTTTATCTGTTTTAATAACCGGGCCCTCATTAAATCACTGGAGAGTGTTTTCTTCACCCATTAGCCTATCTGGGCAGATTGTAGGCAGTTTCTGAGTATCTTCTTTAGTGTTGAACAGAAAGCCAGGATCATGACAGAAGACAGAAAAGCTGCTGTGTGTACAGGAACTATGGGATTGGATACAGAAATGAAGGCCAAATGAATACTGCCCTCAACCTTACTAGACTGGGACCCTAAAACTGATTAAGATAGGGGTCACTAGACCTCTCTGGCCAGACTCTCCTGACCAGAATAAGAGGGGTGGCTAAATCCTAAAAATCTCTAGAAAGTTACAGGGTTAATCGAGAGAAGCCAGAAATCACCTGTCATGTTCTTGGAGAGTCTCAAAGCAGCATATTAGGAGTTCATGGCCATTGACCCAGATGCTCCAGAGAACCAGTGGGCTATAATATTGCTTTTGTTACCCAGTTCACCCCAGTTATCCTCAGAAATTTACAAAAATTAGAGGTATTTGAAGGCATGAGTAGATAATAGCTGTTAGAAATAAAAATAGCTCAGAACGTGTGTGTGTGTGTGTGTGTGTGTGTGTGTGTGTGTTTCAAGACAGGGTTTCTTTATGTAACAGTCCTGGCTATCCTGGAACTCACTCTGTAGGCCAGGCTGGCCTGGAACTTACAGAGATCTGCCTGCCTCAGACTGCTGACTCCTGGGATTAAAGATGTGTGCCACCACCCTTGGCAAGTATATTTAACAATAGAGAACCTGATGAGAAACAAGACAGAACACTGACTAGGATTTTGGTAGCTTCATTCAGGGAGGGGCCCAAAAGAGAGAGACCCAGCAGTGGATGTAAGGAAACTGATCTGGGAGACCAGGATTCCATAACCACCTGCAAGAATTTCCTGCAGGTTGGAAGTCAAATGACCCATCATCTGGCCATCCCACATCAAGGGCAGGCCTCTCGATTCTACAAAGGTTGCTGAGTTACCATGGTGACAACTTAGCTCCATAGTCTACTTTATAGAACTCCTGGGTATACTACAGCATGCTATGACTTGGCTGAACTTAGTTTGGTTCTCATCCTTGCAATGGAACTTGAAAATCCAAATCCAACAGACAGTAGGCACTAATATAAAAAGACAGTACCTGCCTCGCAGCGATGGCACACACATTAATCCCAGGACTTGGGAGGCAGGACAGGCAGATCTCTGTGAGTTTGAAGCCAGCCTGGCCTACAGAGTGAGTTCCAGTCTCAAAACAAAAACAAAAACAAAACAAAGCAAAAGTGACATGATATCCACACAGGCAGAGGAGACCAAACAAAGATGGACTTAGAACATACAATGGCCACTTAATTTATATACCAAAACCAAAAGGACTAAAGGTGTCCCATATGTCCAAAAGGTCTCTTTTAATTTTTTTAATTTTTCAGGACAGGGTTTCTCTGTGTAATCTTGATTATCCTTGAATTTGCAATGCAAACCAATTAGACTGACCTTGAATTCAGATACATATCTGCCTCTGCCTTGCAAGTGGATTTAACATGGAGCAATGTTTTTAATTCCTAGGCATCTCAATGCCATTATGATAGCAACTTGTTGAGGACTCCTTGACTCAAAATAGATGGATCCTGCACTGTGGCTCTCAGGGACACCAGCTTTGGGTTAGGTAAGATCCTGGCTAATCTCCTTCCTAAGAGAAACCCCATGGGTCAGCTAGATTCTTAAGTTAGGGGATGCACACTGAGGTTTAGGACAGCTCGGTGAAAGCATATAAGAGAGTGGCTTTCTAATGGAGATGCCCGAAAGAGTAGTTCTGTGGCCACAAAACATGGTTTGAAAGACAGGAAGGTACTGGGATTCTGGGATTCTTAAAGGGAGGGTCCCACACCCTTTGGAGCCAGATACTCACTCAGCCCACGACGCTGGTTGTACTGAGCTCCTGCTGAATATACTAAGTAGCAACACTCTCCATTGTCCAGGATCGCGGAAAGATCACGAACAATTAGAATCTAAAACGGAATATTTTAAAATTGATTGGACATACTCTGGTTTCACTTCAGAACATATAAATCTTTCACCTTTTACTAAAATTGATTGGAAATGGCTCTTCCGCTGAGGCTTCCATCCTGGTGGTGGAGAAAACCAAGGTACCCTAGGTTCCTGCACCACCAACAGAACTAGGACTAGACTGGTTGCCTGTGCTTGGGGTCTACCACGGCATATTCCATGCCAGCAGCAGAAGCCAATGCTCCCTAGTTTCCTGATCGACCCACGGGACCAGAGTGACCCATGTGACTAAGACAATCAGGATCTGTCTCCAGGCTACACTCCTGTGCCTGGGGTCTACCACTGGGGCTCCCATGCATCCCAGTAGGGTCCAAAGAACCCCAGCATCCTAGTCCATTTCTCCACACACAAGACCAGGAAGTGGAGAGCTACCAGAACAGTGGACTTGCCTACACCCACCAGAAAGGAACCCTGGTCCCACACCCACCAGGAGAGGAAGAGGTACCCTCTGGAACCCACTGCAAGAACAGATGGGAAGAAGACAATATAAAAGCACAAGGAGCAAAAGAAAAGCCAATTTGACACCGCCAGAGTCCAGAGACCCTACACCAACATCACAGTAACACCCCAACACAAATGAACCAGAAGAGAATGATATAAAAACCAACTTGATGTAAATGATAGAGGCCCTCAAAGAGGATATGAGAAAATCCCTTAAACAGATGGAAGAAAAAAACAATCCAAAAAACATTCAAGAAATGGAGCAAAAGACAAAGCAAAAATTGTAAGAAACAATTCAAACACTGCAAGAGCTGAAATCTGAAATAGAAACAATAAAAAACCACAGTCTGAAGGAATTCTGGAAATAGAAAAGTTGGTAAAATGGTCAGGTACTACAGATGCAAGCATAACCAACAGAATACAAAAGATGGAAGATACACTAGGAGAATTAGATTCATCGACCAAAGAAAATTTTAAACCCAACAAATCCCTAACATAAAATATCCAGGAAATATGGGACACTGTGAAAAGGCCAAAGCTAAGAATAATAGGTATAGAAGAAGGTGAAGAAACCCAACTCAAAGGGGCAGAAAACATATTCAACAAAATGATAGAATAATAATTTCCCAACCTAAAGAAAGACATGCCAATGAAGGTGCAAGAAGCATACAGAACACCAAACAGAGTGGACCAAAAAAAATCCCCTCGACACATAATAATCAAGACCCCCAAACATACAAAATAAAGAAAGAACATTATGAGCAGCTAGGGAAAAAGGCCAAGTAACATATAAAGGCAAACCTATCAGAATTACACCTGACTTCTCCATGGAAACGCTGAAAGCCAGAAAAACATAGGCACTTTACCAACAGGCAAAAGAAAAAGTAGAGGAAATCCACATACAATTCCACCAACAACAACCATTCCAAAACAAACAAGAATGAGCTATCAATGGTCATTAATTTCCCTCAATATTAATGGTATTAACTAGCCCATAAAAAGACACAGGTTAACAGAGTGGATTTGAAGACAGAATTTATTCTTATGCTGCATACAAGAAACACACCTCAGCTTCAAAGACATATGTTATTTCAGAGTTAAGGGCTGGGAAAAGATTTTCCAATCAAATGGAACCAAGAAACAAGCGGGGGTAGCAATCCTAATATCTAACAAATTAAATTTTAAACTAAAATCAATCAAAAGAGATGAAGGAGGGAACATCATACTCATCACAGGAGAAATCAACCAATATGAAGTCTCAATTCTGAACATCTATCCCCAAATATGCCATTCATGTTCATAAAAGAAACATTACTAAAACTCAAAGCACATATAAAACCTCACACACTTGTAGTGGGAGACTTCAACACCCCACTGTCACCACTAGACAGGACCACAAGACAGAAAATTAACAAGGATACGAAGGACCCAATAGAAGTTATGACCCAATTAGGCTTAACAGACATCTATAGAACAATCTATCCAAACAATAAAGAATATACCTTCTTCTCAGCTCCATGTGGAACCTTCTCAAAAATCGACCGCATACTTGGCAACATAGCAAGCCTACACAGATACAAAAAATTGGAATAACTCCCTGTATCTTATCAGACCATCATGCCTTAAATTTAGAATTTAACAATAACACAAATTGCAGAAACCCTGCAAACTCATGGAAATTGAATAACACACAATTGCACCATTCCTGGATCAAAGAAGGTATAAAAAAAGAAATTAAAGACTTCCTGCAATTCAATGAGAATGAAGACAGAACATACACAAACCTATGTGACATTTTGAAAGCAGTGCTAAGAGGAAAGTTCAGAGCATTAAGTGCCCACATGAAGACACTGGAGAATAGTCACACTAGAGAATTAACATCACAACTGAAAGCTCTAGAACAAAAGGAAGCAAACTCATCCCAGGGGAGCAGATGCCAAGAAATAATTAAATTTCAGGCTGAAATCAATAAAGTAGAAACTAGGAAAACCATACAAAGAATCAATGTAACAAAGAGTTTGTTCTTTGAGAAAATCAAAAAGATAGATAAACCTTTATCCAAACTTACCAAATGGCAGAGTATGAACATGCAAATTAACAAAATCAGAAATGAAAAGGGAGACATAACAATGGAAAGTGAGGAAATCCAGAGAATCATCAGGTCATATTTGAAAAGCTGTACTCCACAAAATTTGAAAATTTAAAGCAAATGGACAATTTTCTGGATAAACATCACATGGACACAACTAAGAAAGAGAACTTCAGACCAATATTCCTCATGAACATTGATGCAAAAATACTCAATAAAATACTGGCAAATCGATTCCAAGAACACATCAGAAAACTCATCCACCATGATCAAGTAGGCTTCATTCCAGGGAAGCAGGTATGTTTCAACATATGAAAATCCATCAATGTAATCCACTATATAAACAAACTGAGAAACAAAAATCGCATGATCATCTCACTAGATGATGAAAAGGCCTTTGATAAAACCCAACACCCATTCATGATATAGGTCTTGGAGAGATCAGGGATAACAGGAACATACCTAAACATGATAAAAGCTATATACAGCAAACCAACAGCCAACATCAAACTAAATTGACAGAAACTCAACACAATTCCTCTAAGATCAGGAACAAGGCAAGGCTCTTCCCTTTCCCCATACCTCTTCAATATTGTACTTGAAATTCTAGCCAAAAGCAATAAGACAAAAAAGGAGATGAAGGGGATACAAATCAAAAAGGAAGAGGTAAAACTTTCACTATTTGGAGATGATATGATAGTTTATATAAGTGACCCAAAAAATTCTACCAGGGAACTCTTACAGCTGATAAACAGCTTCAGCAAAGTGGCAAGATACAAGATCAGCTCAAGAAAATCAGTAGCCCTACTATATACAGACGATAAAATGGCCAAGAAAAAAATCAGAGAGACATCAACCTTTACAATTGCCACAAACAACATAAAATACCTGGGGGTAAAGCTAACCAAACAAGTGAAATACCTGTATCAAAAGAACTTTGAGTCTTTAAAGCAAGAAATTAAAGAAGACACCAGGAAATGGAAAGATTTTCCATGCTCTTGGATAGGTAGGATCAATGTAGTAAAAATGGCAATCCTGTCAATAGCAATCTACAGATTCAATGCAATCCCCATCAAAACCTCAGTACAATTCTCCACAGACCTTGAAAGAACAATTCTGACCTTTATATGGAAAAACATAAAAACCGGGATAGCCCAGACAACCCTGCTCAACAAAGCAATGTCTGGAGGCATCACCATCCCTGACTTCAACCTCTAATATAGAGCCATAATCCTGAAAACAGCTTGGTATTGGCACAAAAATACACAGGTAGACCAATGGAATCAAATTGAAATCCCTGAGATTAATCCACAAACCTATGAATGCTTGATTTTCGACAAAGTAGCTAAAATTATACAATGGAAAAAAGATAGCATTTTCAACAAATGGTGCTGGCATAACTGGATATGGGCATGTAGAAGACTGCAGATAGATCCATGTCTATCACCATGCACCAAACTTAAGTCTAATAGTATAAAAGACCTCAACATAAATCCAGCCACACTGTACCTGTTAAAAGAGAAAGTGGGAGGTACCCTTGAACGAATTGGTACAGGATACCGCTTCCTGTACATAACACCAGTAGCATAAACACTGAGATCGACAATTAATAAATGGGACCTCCTGAAACTGAGAAGCTTCTGTAAGGCAAAGGACACAGTCAGCAAGAAAAAAGGCAACGCAGAGATTGGGAAAAGATACTCACTAACCTCATATCTGACAGAGGGCTGATCCCCAAAATTTACAAAGAACTCAAGAAGCAAGTCTCCAAAACACCAAAGGATCCAATTAAAATGTAGGGAACTGAACTAAATAGAGAATTCTCAATAGAGGAGTATAAAATGGCTGAGAGACACTTGAGAAATCATTATCCATTAGGGAAATGCAAATTCTTACTCCTGTCAGAATGGCTAAAATCAAAAACACCAATGACAGTTTATGCTGGAGAGGATGTGGAGAAAGGAGAACACTCCTCCACTGTCAGTGGGAGTGCCAACTCCTACAGCCACTATGGAAATCAGTATGGAGATTCCTCAGGAAAATGGGACTCAGTCTACCACAAGACCCAGCAATTCCACTCTTAGGCATATACCCAAAAGATGCCCATTCACACAACAAGCATGTCTGTTCGTTCCACTATGTTCATAGCAGCATTATATGTAATAGGTAGATCCTGGAAGCAACCTAGATGTCCCACAACTGAAGAGTGGATAGAGAAAATGTGTTACATTTACACAATGGAGTACTATTCAGCGGAAAAAAATGGAATCTTGAAATTTGCAGGCAAATGGATGGCACTAGAGGAAACCATCCTGAGTGAGGTAACCCATACACAAAAAGACAAACATGGTATGTACTCACTCATATATGGATTTTAGATATGGATCAGGGGAGTGTCAGCCTACAATCCCA